TTGGCCTCCATCAACTCTTCCAGGTACGACCACTTGGCCTCCATCAACTCTTCCAGGTACAACCATTTGGCCTCCATCAACTCTTCCAGGTACAACCACTTGGCCTCCATCAACTCTTCCAGGTATGACCATTTGGCCTCCATCAACTCTTCCAGGTATGACCCCTTGGCCTCCATTAACTCTTCCAGGTATGACCACTTGGCCTCCATCAACTCTTCCAGGTACAACCACTTGGCCTCCATCAACTCTTCCAGGTATGACCCCTTGGCCTCCATTAACTCTTCCAGGTACGACCATTTGGCCTCCATCAACTCTTCCAGGTACGACCACTTGACCTCCATCAACTCTTCCAGGTATGACCACTTGACCTCCATCAACTCTTCCAGGTATGACCACTTGACCTCCATCAACTCTTCCAGGTACGACCATTTGGCCTCCATTAACTCTTCCAGGTACAACCATTTGGCCTCCACAAATTCTTCCAGGCATTACTACTTGGCCTCCACAAATTCTTCCAGGCACAACAACACTGCCTTCTGCTGTGGCTGCCAAGAAATGCACCAGGGTCACAGCAGGGTCCTCAGCACCACAGGTAACCCTACTCTCAAAGTCCCCTCATACTCACAGATAGTGACCTGGCTGATGTTCTCCTTTGACATCCTGGGGGAGGAAGGACATGAGAAAAAACACTAAGAAAGGCTATAAAGAATACAAACCCTAATTTAAAAATCCCTCCCAGTAGAGTTGGTGGCTCTTAGTGACTTACAGGGTAAGGAAATCTCTCAGAATCCCCTCAAGCAAAGAGAGACCTGCAGCGGCCTTCCGTTCCCCCGAACCCAGGCTCACACCCCCTGGTACCTCCAGATCTCCTACCTACACTCCTCGCTCTCCAGCAGCCTTCGATATGTGGCAATCTCCACATCCAGGGACAGCTTTGTGCCCAGCAGTTCCTGGTACTCGCGCAACATTTGGGCCATGTCCTGCTTGGCTGCTCTCAGAGCATCCTCCAGCTCATCCAGCTTGGCCTGGGCATCCTTCAGAGCCATCTCCCCATGCTGTTCGGCATCAGCAATGGCCGATTGCAGACTGCCGTTCTGGAGGGGAGCAGAAAAGTGGGAGAAGATGGCTGTGGGCCTGACAGGGCCCCTCAAAACAACCACCACGGATGTAATTTGAAGACCCAGATATTCCCTCAACTCATGAGCTCAAAATTATGCATGACCACCCCATGCCCAGCCCCTCTCATCCTAAGGGAAAACATTGCCTAACAGCTTCTATTCCTGTGGCAGAGGGTTCACTGGGTCCCCCAACATCTTCATGTTTACCCAGAACCTCAGAACATGATCTTTTTGGAAGCAGGGTCTTGGCTGGCATATTTAGTTAAGCATCTCATGACAGCACATGGTGCTTAGTATGAGTCCTAAATCCAGTCACTGGACACTGAGAAGCTAGGTGTGAGGAGAGAAGCAGAGATGGGTGTGGGCGACTCAGCATCACCTCAGATTCAGAAAGGAAGAAATCCTCCAGAGGCTGTCACGGCTCTGTCCCCACACAAACACCCCAGAACAGGAACAAGATCTCTTCTCTGTGTCCAGAAAGGTGATGGGTGGATGAGTAGGGACCCAGCACTCTGAGGCAGTGTGAAAAGCTCAGTCTCTTGGGCCTGTGCCAAAAAAGGAACAGGTTCTCCCAGCAAAGCACACACATGGCTTCTCAGGGCTAGTCCTGGTGTGTTTAGTTGAAAAGTATGTGTGCGGATACACATGCAAGCAAAACACCAAATCACATAAAATAAGAATAAATCGATGAATAAAATAAGAAACAGAGAGTGGAGAGATGGCTCAGTGGTTAAGAGCTCTGACTGATCTTCCAGAGGACCCAGGTTCAATTCCCAGCACCTACATGGTGGCTCACAACCATCTATAACTACAGTTCCAGGGGATTCGATATCCTCTTCTGAGCTCCATGGGTACCAGACACACACATGATACACAGACATTATTGCCGGCAAAATACCCATGCAAATAAAATTAATTTTAAATAAAAAGCAGGTTTAGGAGGGGAGGCTGCAGAGATGCTTCAGGTTAGGAGCATTTGCTCTCCAGTCATGAGGCTGGGAGTTCAGATAGCCCCACCCACATAACCAGTGGGCACCTTGCACATGCCTCCACATACATACTCACCTGATGTATGTACTCTGTGTTCATCACCCACTATGGGTCTCCAATCCAGGCTTCGACTTTGAGGAACATGAGCACAAACTTGATAACTAGTAAGTCATCACCCCTCCCATCTGGGAGAACAGGGCACCTCACCTCCTCAACCTTCTGTGAGCTCTCCTGAAAAGGCTCCACCCACAGGCCCATCTCCCTTCCCCGGGCTCTCCTCTCTCTCACACACACACTTTTCCCAAAGGGAAACCAGAAAAGTCAGTGTTCGACCTTAAGTTCCTGTTTGCTTGTGGGGGAAGAATCAAAAGAAGAGATGAACCGAGAGTTAAACTCACCCTCTCTCCAAGGAGACAGAAGCAAGATGTCTACCTGAATGGAGACTGTGAGTAACAGTCCCCCAGGACTGTACAGTGCAAGGGCTCTGCCCCAGGAAAGCCAGCGTGCAGGCCGGAGTTCACAGGGAACCAGCAAAGTCAGTTCAGAGGTGACTTGAAGATCTGTCTCCAAAGTCCCCACCACAAAATGACCCAGAGCCCCAGCCAGCTCTCTGGATCCCCCGACGCATGCTTGTATAAGCCCGTCTGGGAAGGAGACAATGAGGGCACCAAGCCTCGGGGGGATGCAGCAGTAGACACAGGGAACCTACCTGAGTCCTGAGGCTCGCAATCTGACTCTGCAGCCTCTGAATGGCCTGCCGAAGCTGGGAAATCTGCACCCGGGCCTCCTTCATGCTGTCCCCTTGAAGCTGGGCTGATGCCTGAAGTTCCTGGTACTGAGGGCACAAAGGTAACACCATTGGTTGAGTTGACAGCTTCTTCTGCCATCTTCCCACCCTGGGAGATGCCTCCTGGTGTCTGCATTTTTCCCACTGCAGGCCAGCTACACTGCAGAGCTCATAGTAGACATGCCTGCAGAGGTCCAAGCTTGTCTCCTGACTTATTGCCATTGCCCCCCTCCTGAAATGTGGACACAGCCCTACCCTGTGAGGCCTGAACCTCAAGGATGTCATCAGAGATGCCCCAATAGGACCAGAGTTGGTGACCTCCCTGGGGTGTGAATGTGACCACCCAGCCATCCTCAGCTTGCTCTTTGGGCCACAGCACCTTGGTCTGGAACACAGCCTCTGCCTCGGCCTTGCTGGTCTGAGTGATCTCCTCATACCGGGCGCGGACCTCAGCGATGATGTCATTGAAGTCCAAGCAGCGGTTGTTATCCATGGACAGCACCACTGACATGTCGTCAGCCTGAGTCTGCAGCTGTCCCAGCTCCTATAGGAAAAACCAACTCAGTGTCTACCACCCTGGCTCCCTGTCCCCTGTCCCCCTGAGGGGAGAAGGATGTCTGAATTCCGCCCATTTGCCTATCACCCAGTAGTGGTGGTCCAGATTTGCAGAGTAAGGACCACTGAGGTGGTCTCCAGTGACTTCTGCAGTGTGGGCAGTAAAGGAAAAAGACCCACGAGGCCCAAAATCACCTGTCTCTGTCATCCTTCTCACTCCTTATCACACCTCCCTCCACACAATCCCCCTGCCCCAGCCACACTGATCATCTCACAATTTCTCTTGCTAAGGACACAACCTCTGCCCAGAGTCCCAGAAATTACCTGCCTGAAGAGTTCCTTCCCTCCTTCACATGTCCAGCCTGATTTTACCTTTTATGTCAGGCTTATTTGCAATCGCCACCTTCCCGCATTCCCAGCCCTCCTCCCCTGCTCCCCACAGCACCTATCACCGCCTAACAGAGTGTGGGGTTTACATGTACTGAGACTGGTGCTCTGTCTGCCTCCTTGTAGAAGCAGCTTTGAAGGCTTTGCCTGGTTGTTCCTTGATGAATTCTCACACCAATGATTGTAAATGACGAATGACCACAAACCAAAGCCGTCCTCCCAACAGGCTTCCCCTCCTAGTGGCTCCCCTCGTGGCCACAGGGAGCCTGTCCATCCTGTCCCTTCCGTCACCTCTCCCTGTTCCTCACACGTCCTTACTTCTTCATACAGACGTGTCAAGAAGCAGACGTATTCTCTCAGAGACTCCAGCCTGCCTTCCAAATCCATCTTGCTCTGGAAAACCTCATCCACATCCTGAGGACAGGGAGACAGAAAGCATGGGTCTCCCACTTCCTCCCAGGACACCCACGTCCTGTGTCTCCCTCTTCTCCCCTCCCCATCCTGCCCTGCACTACCTGCACACTGCTCCAGATCAGCCCCAGCCCCTGTGCTGTTTGCGCTTCCTCCCCGGCCTCCCAACCTCTTGCCGCTCTGCAGCGAGGCCCGAGCCTGTCAAACAGCACCTCGTTTACTAAGTGCCTGTGTCTAGGTCAATATCCCATCCTGGCAGGGCGGCCGCATGCAGAGTGACAAGGTGTCCTCAGTCAGTATCTCCACCCTTTGACCTCCCAGCCTGAGACCAGTTTAGGGCATGCTGGGGGCTTTCTGAGTGGAGCATTTGTGCCCCGCCCACCTTCTTAAGGACGGCAAAGTCATTCTGCACTGAGGCGTGCCTGTGAGCTTCCTGGTCATACCTGCAAACGGAGAATGACAATCGGGGGGCACCAGGTCAGAGCTTACAGCCCCACCCCTGCACTCCGCACCCCGACCCCTGCACACTGCACCCCCACCCCTGCACGCTGCACCCCCACCCCTGCATGCTGCACCCCCATACCCTCCCTGCTTACAGACCCACCCCTGCACTACGCACCCCCACCCCTGCACTCTGCACCCCATACCCTCCCTGCTTACAGCCCACCCCTGCACTCTGCACCCCCATACCCTCCCTGCTTACAGCCCACCTCTGCACCCCCATACCCTCCCTGCTTACAGCTCACCTCTGCACCCCCATACCCTCCCTGCTTACAGCCCTCCTCTGCACCCCCATACCCTCCCTGAGTGTCCTTGTCTCTTCAGAGGCCCCCAAGTCAGGAGCCACCGCTGACCCTTTTCCCATTCCTTTTCAGGGGGCTGTCATACCCTATCTATACCCCTGAGTCAGCCTGTACCCCACAGAACAGTGGGCCACACGCCTTGATGGTTTCCCAAGCACTCAGATGCCTCTGAGCAGGCAACATGGGTTTCCTGGGGGGAACAGGACTCTCCACAGCAGACCTGAAACCTTGGATGCCTCCCTCACTCACTCACTCCCTCCCCCACCTGCCCTGTTCCTTTCCCTGGAGACCACGAAGGTAAATGAACTTTTCCCAGACAGTAACAGTAGAAACCAGGACTGGGAGAAGTAAGAGACCTACCCTCACCCTCCAGCCCTCACTGCCCCTCAGCCCAGGGCTGTCTGCACCACCAGGCCACCTAGGTAGAGCTAGAACCACAGTCCAGCCGTGAATCATACCATGGGCCTGGGGACAGGTGCACTAAGCTGACTGCCCTCCACCCAGGACCAGAGGACATCTGAGTCACGTTACCCCACAGCCTGCTAAACAGGAATTTCTCGAGAAAGCTACCGAGGTTGTTGTTTGGATCAGCCCTTCCCAGTCCTGACCAGAGGCATGGACCCTTGTGGCTAGACCTCAGCCCTCTGGAAAGAGACCTCAACATTTCTCCCAGGTCTCTCCAGGCCTGGGAGGGGGCATGGGTGCTGGGAGGGGGGGTATCCTCTGCATATTGCAGGTGACCATCAGGAGAGGGGCAGTCAAGGGGCAGAATGGAGGTCAGTCATGCAGCGCTGGGAGCTGGACATGCAGGAGACCCTCAGGCTGGCAGAGCACTTCACACACCACCCCCTAGACACCGCATGGAGACTTCCGTTGCTCACTTGGACTTGTACTCATCCTCCTGATCCTGATAGGTCTTCAGCTCGGAGTCCAGAGCCCCTCGCTCCCTCTGAAGCTCCTCCAGCTGCTGCCTGAGCCGGGCCAGGCAGGCTTCGAACATGCACTCCAGGCCCTGAGGGCTGTGACTCCCCTGCAGCTGCTGGAGCAGGGCCCACTTGGTCTCCAAGACCTTATTCTGCTGCTCCAGGAAGCGTACCTGGAACCAGACACGGGGTCCTGAGACTTCTGGGACTCCCCTGGCACAGCCTCTGGAGAGGGAAGCCTCAAAGACCCTCTTGTGGGCCCCTTGCTCTTGCCTCCCATCCCTGCCTGTGCCGAGGAGCCTCAAGGCCTCCCACAGGAAGCTGAGCACATCCACGATTGGATGGGGCAGTAGAGAGGAGACTTCTCATCACTACCCAGCTGGTCTCTGTCCCTGAGCCCCAGCCATGGAATACCAGGGCATTAGCAAACCAGAAAGCCACTGGTTAGACCCTGGGAGGACTTCCTTGCCACTGAAGGGATGAGAAAAGTGGCAGAATGAGATCAGATCTCCTCCCTCTAGTCCATCTTGTCTAGAGCAGGTGTCTGCGGGAGGCCCAGAAGCAGGGGCCGCTTTTACCCTCACCTTGTCAATGAAGGAGGCAAACTGGTTGTTGAGGGTTCTGATCTCTCGAGTCTCCTGCGTCTTCACCACCTGGAACTGGGGGTCAACCTCGATCTTCAGTGGGGTCAGCAGGCTCTGGTCCACAGTCACCGCTTGGATGCCCCCTGGAGGGCACTGGGAAAGACCAGGCCCTCCACTCCCCTGCCCAAACCGGACCCCTTGCCTGGCCCCTGCCCCCCAGGCCCTCTCGCAAGAGCTTCCTCTCCATCTCCTGGAGGAGCTAAGGCTCCTGCTGCTGAAGCCAGCTCTGCCTCGAGCCCCTGCAAAGGCAGAGCATGCTGAGCGAGCACTGAAGCCCCTCTGGGCCCGGCATGGGGAGAGAGACATGGCAGAGACAGGCAGGCCCGGAGCTTCAGACGGACTGGAGATGGTCACGGTGTGTGTGCTTCTGCCCTGGGGCCCTGGCACGAGACTTTTATCCCCTCCCGTCCCTGGGCTGGGCCTTGGAGAGCAAGATGTTCTCGGTCTGACTGTGTCTGCCACTTGCTGCGGCTCATCTGCTCTGACACACTCGGGGTATAGGTGCGCGGCACGTGCCGAGCCCGAGGTGGGAGACCAGGCCCTGCCCTAGGAGCCAAAAACAAGGAAGCATCTAGAGGCATGAGCCATGGTTACAGGCAACGGTTGACATCACGGGGGGTATTCAAGGAAGGCTTCCTGGAGAAGGAGAGAGAAGAGAGCATGTGTTCAGAGAAGAGGGAGGCATGGGGAGCAGTGGCGGTACCACACCGTGGAGGTTCAGGAGGAGAGAGAATACAGCTCCCAGAGGGAGATCCAACCTGACAGAGGCAGCACAGGCCCTGAGCAACCAGAAGGCTGGCAGGGGTGTTGCAGCAAAGACACCCCACGATGTAGAAATGGCACAGAAAAGCAGGGCACCCAGTCCCTCCTTCGGCCCAACCCAGCAATCATTCGTGAGACGGGAGACAGAACCTGCCACACGCCAAGCAGGAATCCTTAGCCAAGATCTGTAGAACAGCAGCCAGTCCTATGGGCCTACTCCTCCCAACACGCTCCTCCGGGCCCCTCCAGCTGGCGCAAGCCCTTCCAGTGGGGCACCACTGGAATGAATAAATGAGGGGCACCCCGCTACAAAATAAAGTGAGCATCTAGAAAACTACGCCTGGGCAGTCTGGGAGCAGGAACAGGGGGCCTGGGACTCTCCCAGGATGGATTCCATCCCTGCTCTAGCAGGCAGAGGAGCACCCAATATTTGCCTAATGTTGGGGTCCAATCTCCAGCCTGACACAGGATCCCAGGAGGAAAGCGTGCTGTAGATGATCCAGCTGCTCCCTGGGGACTGCTGAGCCTCTCGTTCGGATTCCTGGGGTCTTCCCTAGTGGAACAACAGGGGCTCTCTCCCACCTCCTCTCCTAGCACCTGAGGGTGGGATATTTGGGGTCTTTGAGAATGCAACTCCAAACAAGAACAAACAGAAACTCGGCATACCAAACAGTGGAGAGATGCTATGAGGAAGTCATTCTTGACAATTAGCACAGCCGCACAGGCACCCCACCCAGGCCAGACGACTGTGCACAAGCGTGTTCCCACTCCCTCTGGGGCTCACAAGCCCCTTCATCCTCCTCCAAACCATTGGCGGCACCTCAAGAGACATGAAGAAGAAGCCTTCAAGGCAGCAGGGGTAGTAAAGAAGTTCAAGGCACGAGGAGCCTGGGAAGCCAGAGAAGAGGAGAAGAAGACCCCAGAGAAAGCTGATTGTACGGTGGGAAGGAGGCACCCAAGCTGCCTGCAGTCTACTTGGCTCCTCTGAGACCTCAGCTCCAAGATGTGCCCACCACTGTCAGAGACACTTTGTGAGAGAGAGCTTTGCCCACATGTACAAGAGTGAAATAAGATCTGTATCTGTCACCCTCCTTAAAAATCAACTCCAAAGACCTCAGTGTTCAACTTGAAATGCCAAACAGCTGGAAGCAATACCAAGCACAAGATATAGGTATAGAAAAGGACTTTCTAAATAAGGCTCCATCCATTCAGGAACTCAGGCCAACAATTGACAAATATGGTCTCATAAGTCTGAAAAGCTTCTGTACAGCAAAGGAAAGAATCAACAGAGGACCCTCACAGAGTGCAGACAATCTTTGCTGCAATCAAATAGAAGGTTAATCCCAGAATATATAAAACAAAGAGCTCAAATACAGAGCCAAGAAAACAAATGACCCCGTTGGAAAAAAATGGGTATGGTCCTGAACAGAGAGTTCTCAAAAGAAGAGATAAAATGGTTAATAAATTTCTCAAGGTACTCAACACCCTCAGCAATTAGGGAAATACAATTAAAACTACTTTGAGGGGCTGGTTAGATAGCTCCACAGACAGAGGCGCATGCTGCCAGGCCCTGTGACTTGAGTTCAATAACCAGGACCCACATGGTAGCAAGGGAGAATCAATCCTCATAAGTTGTCCTCTACCTCAACACATGCATGCTGTGCACACCACACAGACAGATAGATAGATAGATAGATAGATAGATAGATAGATAGATAGATAGATAAGATAGATAGATAAGATAGATGTCATGTCACCCCAACCAGAATGGCTAAGGCCAAGACAACAAACGCTGGTGTAGACTTGGTACATGGACACACTGGAGTACTACTCAGCTGCAAAGAAACCGAAATCGTGAACTCCACGTGAACGGAGGGAACTAGGACATTTTCTCCTGAGGCGGGTAACCCAGAGCCTGTAAGACAAGCGCCATGTGCTCTCTCTTATTTGTGGGTCCTAGCTCTGAATCCTCAGATGTGTGTAACCTGCAGAAGCCAGGAAAGGAAAAGAGGCCCATCCTGGGGAGGAGCTGGGGGACAGTAGAACACTGGCTCTATGAAGTGGGAAATGGAAAAAATGGGGTTCATCTGAGAGAGGGAGGAAGTGATGAGGGAGAGGAAAAGAGGGAGCGAAAACGCCAAGAATGATTTGAAAAGTGTAGGGAGACACTATTCTACCACAGTAAGTACTACTGTTACTTAACAATGCATATATAATATACAAGTGCATGTGTACACACATAGATAATCTAAATGGAGTTGTGCCGCTTGGGGTGATAACGCTCTTCCCAAGACTATCTAGAAGAATAAAAAAAAAATGGTGCCGGGAATGGAGACTCCCTTGAGTTTTGGTCAGGGGCGACCCAGAGGCTCTCAAAACGATGTAGGCAGTTGCCACTGCCCTTTGCTGCCTCCCAGAAGGTAACAAATGAGGTAAGACCTTATTGATGAAGACATCACTCGCTTAGGACACAGGGCTTGGAGGAATCAAGCGGGAACTTCCTGGAAGCCTCCTCCCTGAGGACTGACTCTCGTAGTGACAGAGGTTCTATGCATGCTTCCCAGGGAGAAGAGCAATCAACAGCCCAACCCCTGTAAAGCCTCCGACCACACAGAAGATCCCGCAATGGTGCAATAGGGACACTTTCATCTGAGGGGTGACCAACAGTGGACTTAAGGTCCACTCAACAGGGGGGAATGTGTGCCTGGTGCCTAACCAGCTACCCATGGCTGGAGAAGCCAGAGGCCAGAGGCCAGCCTACTACTGCCAGTTCCTCCATCAATATAATTGCTCACTTATCCTTATCACCAAAGATAGGAGTAGCTCTGGTCCCTCATCAAGGTAGCTTCTTCTTGCAAGAGATGAAAACCACTACAGGGTCACACAAATGGCCAACATACAGAGAATACGTGGCTGTGCCCAACACAGACCCACACATCTGCAACACAACCCCTAAGGCTCAGAGAAAACCATGAACGAGGGGACAGAAATATTGTAAGAGCCAAAGAACCAGGACATCTGCTGTGACGTAGTACCTTCTGTATATGTTCAGGAAGTATCTTCTATATATGAATGTGTACTCTCAGCAATACAGTCCAGAACAAGACCAGCATAGTGACAACATCAGTCGACCTGCCAGTGTGGACAGGAGAAATTCTACACAGTCCCACCCTAAAATGAAGAGCTCTAGGTTGTCAGTGCCTGATAAGAAAGGGAGATTCATTCTCCTCCGAGAATGAGCTCCCGCATAGTTTGTCCAGTCCCAAGTGGTCAGCCCTGAACACATGTACATACAAGCAGAAGTAAAGAGACTCAATAATAATAATAATTAACGGGGCTGGACATGGTGGTGCACGCTTTTAATCCCAGTGCTTGGGAGGCAGAGACAGGTGGATTTCTGTGAGTTAGAGGCCAGCCTGGGCTACAGAGTGAGATCCAGGACAGCCAGGGCTATGTAGTGAGACCCTATCTCAAAATTAGGATGATGATGATGACGATGATGATGATGACAGTTTTAAAAGAGATCATAAATTCGGAGGGTGGCTCGGGAGCAATTGGAGAGGGGGTGAGAGAAGCAGAAATGATATAGACACAGTGCTTTCATATGAAGTTTTAAAAGAATTATTAAAAATTTTTAAAGAGAGGAGGAAAAGAGGCTTGGGGCCTTCCACCTGCCACCTCAGTGGGCCTTGCTTAAATACATCCCTGGGGTCCCACGGGGACTGAGATCCACCACCCCTCCCCCCCTTGTGTTGAAGAAGGACAGAGGTCACACTGAGCCTGGCGTCAAATCCTCCTCGTGGAGCTTCCCCATACCTGTAATGTCATAGGACATGAGAGCCACAGGAAGCTTCAAGGTCTTGGCATCCGATGCCTTTGTTTTGCATTAGAGCTCTCCCAGGCTCCGAGGGTGTGGGGAAGGGATAGACCAGGCTCCCTTAGGTAACCAGAGATTACACCAGCTGAGCCCAGGCCACTCTGGACCTCACTCAGGCATCTGAGGGACGTGGCCAACAAGGTCACCCACACAGAGTGCCCAGAATGGAGCCAGCACCCCACTCCCTTCACTGTAGGAGTCCTCCGAACGGCCCAGAGGAGCCTCCTCCTGCAAATCAGGCCTTCCGAGACCCCATCACCCTACCCATGGTGTTTTCCGGCCTTCCAGCTCAGGGTGTAGCATTCACTAGGCATCTAGCAGTATTAGATTGAAGAGATGAACTGTGTGTGTGTGATACTGGGGACTCATGACTTTGTGAATGCCTGGTAAGTGCTCTGCCGCTGAGTTACAGCCTGATTGATCCCTCTTTTCACTTTATTCTGAGATGGCGTCTCCTTCAGTTGCCTAAGATAACCTTGAACTCATTCTGCTCCCCAGGCAGGCTTCAAACTTGGCAATCATCCGGCCTCAGTGTCTGGAGTAGCTTGGATTATGGGCCTAAACCTCCAGGCCTGGCAAATAGTGATTCTTGACAACCACATGGGGGATCTTCTAGAATCCCCCAGTGGCAAATGTGAAGTCATTTAAAAGACCATTGAAATCCCAGCAAGATGGCTCATCAGGCAGAGCCTGGTGGAAAAACAGATAGTGAAAAATGGGTGACTGGACAGGTCTCAAGTGCAGGATGCCCCAGGTCTCAAAACCCACATGGGTAGGAGAGAACGGACTCCACAAGTTCTCCTCCCACCTCCACAAGTGCACTGTGGCACTTGCAGGGGTACACATACTCACACTCACACATACATACATATACATATACACACATTCACACACACTCACACACATGTACATACACACATTCACAGATACATACACACACTCACACATACATATACACGTTCACACACTCACACATACATACATATACACGTTCACCCATTCACACATACACACACATACACACATTCACACATACATACATATACACATACACACATTCACACATACTTACATATACATATACACACATTCACACACACTCACACACATGTACATACACACATTCACAGATACATACACATACACACACTCACACATACATATACACGTCCACACACTCACACATACACACATTCACACATACATACATATACACATACACACATTCACATACACTCACACACATATTCACACACACATACACACACTCACACATACACACACATACACACATTCACACATACATACATATACACATACACACATTCACACACACTCACGCACACACACATACACACACACATTCACACATACATATACACATACACACATTTACATACACTCACACAAACATGCACACATTCACACATACACACATTCACACACACATTCACACATACAACATAATTAACTTTTGTTTAAAGACCAGGTACTGTCCAAGGCACACGCAGTAGGGTAAGTTGGGGGACGGTAGAAACGCCACCTCTCCTGAAAAGACGTGAAAATAGGAAGGAGATGAGTTGGAAAAAGATCTGTAGGTATGAGAAGAGAGCAAGAGAGGGTGATGGGGGTGAAATCATCAAAATCCATTTACACGTGAACGGACGGGTCAGAAAGGGAGCCTAAGGGGGGACCACAGGGGGGACTGCAGTCTGGGGGTGGAGGGATGCACAGAGCAAGCCCCTAGGTCACAACAGCAAGATGGAAACTGATAGAATCATCAGACTGGCCTGGGCGCTCAGCCACAGCGCAGACACACACAGACACTGCGGCCGGCGTCTCCCTCCGCCTCCCCTGCTCCAGGTCACCCACTGGGAGATGGGGCTGGTTCGCTGTTGGTGTTGGGATGTTTTGATGTTGTTTTATTTTT